TATTCACATACTTTTCTTAAGAAACAAATATATGTACTTGGTTTGACGTGGTATAGATTTGTCGGACGCGTCTTTCCGCAATTCTCAACCCCCCCTTACGATTTATCTAACCGGTTGTTCCCGTTGTATTATTCTTTCTCTTGCTTGAACGATCTCTCAGAATGTCAACATCTGTCACTTCGAGGTTAGTAAACTTAGTGCCCTTCGCATCCTACCTGTTGCCATCAAGCTTGACTGGGACACGGGTGACGGAAGACGCTTCTATGGACGAACAACGACACCAAAGTCAGACTACAGACAACGAAACAGAGAGGCAAAGGAGCTCTACATAATGATGAAGGAACAAAGAAAAAGAAGAAAGGGTGTTGCGTATGACAATCTCGTTGACAGCGCTATATGGACTCAGTTGTGGTTGAGGCTATTGTGCATGCATGCTGTTTGGAGATAATCCAGTTTCCCAGGCTTTGCGATAGGCGTGGCAACCAATTAACAACATCGCACCGGCTTATTTAATTGCTTGGTGACGCTACCGATGGCCGCCACAAAGTCATATTGGAGGGAATTATCGACGGCGAGTGAGGCTAGCAATAAAATTATATTACCATCAAACGTATGCGGGAAACATATGTTGGGTATTCGAATGGACGTTGTCTAGGATCGGATTATGTAGTAAAAAGCTAAGGTGGGCATGATGAAGAATAGCTAAGGAAAATTGTTATGTCGAGTCGACAAATTAGCGTGTATAAACTCTTGAACACGCTAGCGAGTAGAAAAGTACCGAAGTCTTGAGGAATCCTTCCATTCTTCGGGCTATTGCACCTTCATATTGCGTTTTGGTCACTTTGCGCTTGATACACATTTTTCAACACTTTTATGTGGACGATAAAGAATTCTCTATGGGCAGGCGTTCGCGTGTATCGACCCCATAGCCAGAAACAATAACCGAATCTGCAAATATTCTATACACCTGACATGTACCCGTTGAATCCTCTAGCCGGTGCTCGGCGAGTAATCGTGGTTGATGCCCTGCAAATATAAATACAAAAGAGATGTGGATCATACTCAATATAGTCTTAACTCTCTACAACTATGTCACCTTACTGGCATACCATTGTAAACATCTTGAACATATCGGTGGTGAGGTATTCTCTTTTACAAATATGGAAACAGCCCACGCCCCACATCCCCTTTTTTAAAACGAGTGTCGTTTGAAGGCTATATACATACATACAGTCGTATACATACACGCGGAAATTACTATTTCTACGAACAGTAGGGCAGTCGCCAGTCGGCCACATACGGATGGCATCAATGACACCAGCACCAATGGCACCCAAGAAATCAATGACATCAATGTCACCAATGTCACCATGACATGAGATGATGTGAATTGTGAGCGTGTAATCGAGAGGGCTTTTAACAAAGTTAAATATCAGTCATGCATCACTTATCACTGTTATCACTTGTTAACGGGGCTATGTATGCATTTCGAGGAATTCGAGCCCATGTACAAGACTCGAGAGTCGAGAGTACTAAAATATTTACGGAGTCCGACTACGGCCCAATAGTCTATTGCCCATACAGGCTACGGGCTACAATCTACATACAGTCATACATCCATACATACGGGGGCCGGCCCGGTCAACTTTATTACTGTAAGCGTAAGTTTTTAAGTCCCTGACGACTTTATTACTGAAAGCGTAAGCTTTTCTAAGTCTCTATTTAGGACTATTTTACTG